CTGGTGACCTGTGACCAGAGTGTTATTGCACTGTTGACTTGTGACCGGAGTGTTATTGCACTGTTGACTTGTGACTGGAGTGTTATTGCACTGTTGACTTGTGACCAGAGTGTTATTGCACTGTTGACTTGTGACCGGAGTGTTATTGTACTGTTGACCTGTGACCTGAGTGTTATTGTACTGGTGACCTGTGACTTAAGTGTTATTGCACTGTTGACTTGTGACCGGAGTGTTATTGTACTGTTGACCTGTGACCTGAGTGTTATTGTATTGTTGACCTGTGACCTGAGTGTTATTGTACTGGTGACCTGTGACCTGTGTGTTATTGCACTGGTGACCTGTGACCTAAGTGTTATTGCACTGTTGACTTGTGACCTGAGTGTTATTGTACTGGTGACCTGTGACCTAAGTGTTATTGTATTGTTGACCTGTGACCTGAGTGTTATTGTACTGGTGACCTGAGTGTTATTGTACTGTTGACCTATGACCAGAGTGTTATTGTACTGTTGACCTGTGACCTAAGTGTTATTGCACTGTTGACTTGTGACCTAAGTGTTATTGTACTGGTGACCTGTGACTTAAGTGTTATTGCACTGTTGACTTGTGACTGGAGTGTTATTGTATTGTTGACCTGTGACCTAAGTGTTATTGTATTGTTGACCTGTGACCTGAGTGTTATTGTACTGGTGACCGGAGTGTTATTGTACTGTTAACTTATGACCAGAGTGTTATTGTACTGTTGACCTGTGACCTGATATTATTGTATTGTTTTGCCTTCTGACCTAAGTATTGCTTTGTCCTATGACCTGAGTGATATATTGTATTATAATTTTAAATGGCATATCACAATCAGTTGTAGCAGCCATTACTCCCTGATTTGTGAGTTTGCATTTACTCACCTGTTTTGCTGGTAGGTTTTTCATCTTTGTAGCATTTTTGATTGAGAACAATTCTAGCAATAAACTAGCACAATCTTTACAGTTTTCAATGGATGATTTTTGATCAGTCATCTTGAATTGTACACGAAAACGCCTTATTTCATTCTATTGTACAAACAAATAAATGCATTACATACAGTTTTAACAACCAAAATACCTATGCTTTAAAAATTCCAGTCTAATCCACCTGATATGAGGTTTAGGCAGTATTGCACTGGAATATCTCACAATTCAATATGTTAATCAACAATGAAAAACAGTGAACTCAGGAAATTATCTACAAGCTGGCTTCTAGACAACTTAGCAATTCAAACGTGTTCACAAGTAAAATACTAATGAATCCCAATAACCACCACAACCTACAGTATGAACTGATCTTGAGCTACTTTGATCTAATAGACTTGTACCATAATGCTGGTCTTAATTACTACTGTAAAATCTATATTAGAAGCTGCAGCTTCTATTAACATGGTACAATGCAACTGAAGGGGTGCAGCTTCTATTAAAGCATCTACACATATGAGAAATGATGAATTTTTGGTTCTCAATTATTCAAAACGAATGGGTGCAACTTTTATTATGGATGTGGCTTTTAATACAGATTTTACAGTACATATTCATTTAATTAATGTCTGTCCATTAGACATTACATTTGTATGATTTACAATACATACATTTATTCTACATGCAAATAATATACTATCTCCTTTATTAATCCCTCTCATCCACTCAGCAGCATTCCGTAAACAATAATTTTCCTAGAAAAACAAATAAAAACAAAATGTTTACTTCAATTAGGGCATTATTTAGAGTTGACTCACTTCACTTCTATATAAATATTCAATATTCTTAAAATACTATATTGTTCATTATGATGTTGTTATTTTTCTTGTAAATGCATTTTCGTATTCAAGGGCAAATAAATATTATTATTAGTATAAAAAGAAAAAATTCAATGGTAATATAACAGACACTCTGTTTTCCCCAAAACACTAGAAAATACATGAACTTCACACACATCTATTTTCTAGTGTCTTTGGTTTTACTCAGTTTTACAAGTTTTCAAATCTACCTCAAGAAAAACAAACCCTAGTTGAAAACTACAACAAATAATTATCTTTAATAACTAGGTTGTAGCCAAAAAATGGATGGAATGAAAATAAACTAAAAGAAAATGTTGCGTCTTGTGACAAACAACAAAAGACAATAAAAATAGTAAGTTTTTAGAATATTTGAAATAATATTTTACTTGTACTCACATGAATTACATTTCCACAATGAATTATAATATCTTTTGATCCCAGGAGCAGCAATGTTAACTCACTGTGTTCAAACACCTAGAAATATACAGAGTAAACCTTATAAAAAGTTCTGTGTTGAAAAGGGCAGTTGTAAATCATACAGTATGCTGAAGTCAGCAAAGGTGTATTTATTGCCAACCCAACAGTTTATATTTTAATCCGAATGAGACGACTGGGTTGTCCAGGCAGATGTTCGCCCCATTCTGATAAGCACTTGCACATCAATCTGACATAAAGTGTAACAGCCTAGGTCACTAGCACTGCTGATTGAGTTTATTTAAGTGTATAGTGTACATTTCTCAGCTGACTTTATTGTAGTACACCAATTTTTAGATAAGAAAAAAATGGAAATTCTCCAAATGTCAAGATCAGACTCGAAGCGTCTTCTTTGAATGTTTTTTGCAGGTTGGTTGAAATCACCTGTGGTGGAAATTGGCCTCCAGACAATATTTTATTCACACTGTACTACGATTTCTTTCATCTCCTATAGTCAACTTGTCTTCTGCCACCACACACTGTGTTACCGTACGCCCGATTTGTATGTTCAAATTTTCCAAAAATATTATCCCCTCGCCTCGGCAAATGTACGCCTCTGCTCTATATTTGTGTATGTTCATGTAATCGTTATCTTAGCATATACACAGTTACTGAAACATTGGTATATGATTTACCTTCCACTCCATATGTGAATTACCGCCGGCGGCGGGGTTACTACCGGCGTAGCTGTCATCAATCCGTGTGGGGGAAACGCCGACGCAACGTGCATAACGTTGTAATGGCCACGACCGAGATGAAAATGTAACTGAGGACGATGACATGGTACATCTAATACAGTAGACTTATTCGTAAAACGCGTACGTTTTGCGTACTGTGGTATGACCGTAGCTGGCTAGTTACCCAAGTAAGTTTACAATGTCGTCTGGCAACATTTTCTAATAATCCGCCATTCTTACCCAGATTCCATTTGTTGCCGTTCGTGGCGCACATCTAGAATGTATAGCGCCACCACCGACTAAACGAAAAGTTTCCTTAGACCACAATGAACACATTTCTTCGTTAAAAAAACACTAAAAATATTGTCAATTGTTTAATTCTTTTAGACATCAAAACGTATCTCGTAAAACACTATGTATGTGTTTTTTTTCACCATATGTCACAGAGCAAAATTTTGAGATATTGAGATATATCTTTGCCATAGAAACAATGGTAAAATTGCCCTAGAAAAAAATGCTTTTTAACTGTTTTTATTGATCGATTTTCTCTGAACTGAGAACTATATTTGTAATTTATCCCTGTAACATGATATATCAATAATAATTGGAAAGTGACATCATTCAAGGTTTGTATATTGACTTCTCAGTGACGCAAACTTGACGCAGATTTTTGGATAAAATCTGTAGTACAGAGAACATTTTGAAAACAAAGTCTACAGGGAAAATTATAGAAAAAAAATGATAAATGAAAACCAAAAACTACAATCGTCGCGGGAAACTTGAAACCGAGTGATTGAACATTATATTACTGTAATTGTTCTATGTACAACGTATTTGATTGTA